GGAAGGGGGCGATAATCCAAGCATGTTTCCCGTGGAAAGTAATATTTAAACTTAAATGAGTACGATTTGGCAGGGCAAACAGGAAAGTGGAAGTGAAGTCTTGCTGTAGAGAAAGTAGGTTAAGAACAGAGAAGAGATGAACAAGGGTCAACAGGTAAAGGAAAACATGGAATATAGACCCCCAAAATCCCTTGTAATTAGATGTTAGGCCAAGAACACCCTGTAAGACTTCTTAAAATGGGTTTAGACTATGTCTTAAAATCAGGAGGAAGCCACTGAATGATTTAAAGAAGAAACAGAAGGATTATGTTCGCAGCATAAAAATATTATGCTTTTCCCCTGTTTATATTGTAGGGAAAAAAAGGATTAAAGTCATGCAGTACTGGAAGTAGGACAAGGATCACGAATCTTCATCAGTAATGTAGCTAATGGAAAAATTGAGCCTTTAAAGTAATTACAGCTAGAATAAAAACAACAGAAGGCCAGGCGCGGTGGCTCAAGCCTGTAATCCCAGCACTTTGGGAGGCCAAGGCGGGTGGATCACGAGGTCAAGAGATCAAGACAATCCTGGTCAACGTGGTGAAACCCCGCCTCTACTAAAAATACAAAAAAAAAAAAAAAAATTAGGCATGGTGGCACGTGCCTGTAATCCCAGCTACTCAGGAGGCTGAGGCAGGAGAATTGCCTGAACCCAGGAGGTGGAAGTTGCAGTGAGCCGAGATCACACCATTGCACTCCAGTCTGGGTAACAACAGTGAAACTCTGTCTCAAAAAAAAGAAAAAAAAAACAGACAGATTAGGGAAAAATTTAAGTAGCAAGATCTGTGTTGCAGGAAAGTGAAGAACCCAGGATTACATCTCAGTTTCTGTTTTTGTTCTCATGTACTGAAATATTAGGTTGGTGCAAAAGTAATTGTGGGTTTGCCATTACTTTTAATTGACAAAGGAAGTTTAGGGAAGGAAATGATATGGCTCTATTACCTTCAAGTGATAATGTCCAGTAGGAAATTAGGTGGGAAAACAATGCACAAAGTTATCTCACATGCATCATATCATCTGATTCACAGAGTCATGAGAAGTAGAATTCACATTTTAGGAAGAAAACTGCGATGTAAGCAGGTCAGTTACATCCATGTTCACACAGAAAGTAAAGGGAAAAGAGAACTAACACATGCTCTAGCAATCCCTCTTCAGTGTGTATAGACAAAGGAAATGACAACCTTATAGGGCTATCTGCACTCCCATGTTCATCGTAGTATTGTTCAAAATAGTGAGGAAGAAAAAAACAATCTGAGTATCCACTGACAGATGAAGAAATTGTGATATATATATATCACATATAGAAAATATACATCACACACATAAAATATATATCATATATAATATGTATATATTTTTATATATTACATATACATATACACACATATACAATAAATGTCTCACTTAAAAAATGAAGAGATCCTGCTATTTGTGACAACATGAATGAACATGGAGGACATTGTGCTAAATAAAATAAACCAGACACAGCAAACTGAATACTGCATAATCTCTGCGGAATTTCAAATCTTTAAATACAGAGAAACAAAGCTTAGAATGGTGGGAACAGGTCTGGGAAGGGAAGAAGAGACAGTCAAAAGAGGCTAAGTTGCAAATATGCATGGTCTTCAAAAAGTTCAAAAGGAAACCTATCAAGGGCAAAGTTCATGGCGACAGTTTTTTTTAGAATGTCCACGGTGTTTTGCTGGTTGACTTTCTGGAGGGCCAAAGAACAGTAACATCTGCTTATTAGAAAAGTGTTCTGAGAAAGTTAACCACAACTTTGGCAGAAAATCACCTGAGAAAGCCTCACCAGAGTCCTCCTTCACCATCACAATGATTCTGCTCATTCCTCTCATTGAACAAGGGCAATTTTGTGAGAGTATCAATGGGAAAACATTAGGCATCCACCTTACAGCCCTGACTTGGCTCTTTCTTCTCTTTGTTTCCTAATCTGCAAAAAATTCTTTATAAGGCACTCATTTTTCTTCAGTTAATAATGTAAGAAAAGACTGCAACTACATGGTTAAATTGCCAGGACCCTGAGTTTCTTAGGGATAGGCCAAATGGCTGGTATCATTTCTTATAAAAGTACATTGAACTTGATGGAACTTATGATGAGAGATTAAGTTTGTGTTTTTATTTTTATCTTTTAATTTCCTTTATTCAGGGACTTTTTGAAGTCCTCTCATATGTAGGATGGATAAATCCAGAGATCTAATTAATACACAGCATGAGAACTACAGTTAACAGTATTGTGCTGTATACTGGAAATTTTTTGAGAGAGGTTTCAAGTGCTTTTACCACAAAGAAAAAAAAGAGAGAAAAAAGCAACTACATGAACAAATGGATCTGTTATTTTTCTTGAATGTGGCAGTCACTTAACTGTACATACGTGTACCAAAACATCATGTTGCATAACCTGAAAATACACAATAAAAATAAATAAATAACACTGGTTTCTATGAAAGAAGAAAGAGGAAGGAAGGAAGAGATATTCCAAAAGGGAGAAATAAAAGAAGGGAAAAGGAAGATGAGGAAACAGGAAAGACCCTTAGCCCCCTTATTTCTGGTCTGCAGCTCCTAATCTTTCAGTCCATGCTACACAAGAGCTTGAAGAGTCAATAAGTTTTAATTATTTGTATAGAATGCAACGGACTAGTTTACCATATATATTGTACAAGGTTATTTGGAGATATTGAAGGATGAAGTGAGCAGACCATAAAAAAATTATAGAGGACCTGAAAATAAAACTTCTACATCATTGAAAAGGTACCTCCATCATTTAGTTTTAAGTACATTTTATTCTTTAAGAATGTGTGTCAGTGCAATAAGATCTAAAATTGCATTTTTATGCTATAGATGAAATCCTGCTTTAAAAAGTGCTGATTGTAAATTAATCAACATTATTTACAAGTAATTCCTGGAGGATGGGCAAAGAGGTGCAGAAATAATATTCTCTGAATTATTGGCCTACTTTCATCACAGAAATGACATCTCATATAAGGTTATCACAAGGAGCACATTTACAGAATAAATTATAAAGAAGATTAAATGAAATGGCAGAAAGAAAAATAGGGGTGGGGTGTCTATGGCATAAGAGACAGAAACATGTTAGGAGAAAAATGAAAAATTATAAATGATTGCACATAACAATTGCGGGTTCAAACTAAGAAATTATTTGAATTTAGAAAAACAAGATTGGAAAATGGATGGAGAAATAAATCCCAGGCAGAGACAGGAGAAAGTCACAATATTAAAAGTGCCAGTCTGACTTCCTTCTGGAAAAAGTTGGGTCCTCTACCACCCAGCAGACACATTCCACTGCAGAGGACTTTTAGAGTCCTTAGCCTTGGATCAATCCAGGCTAATCCAAGGCCCAATGACTAGAACATAAATGTGTGACCTAAATGGAGAAATAATAACCACTGGCTGAATTTTTATGGTGAGCTTTGAAAATAGCTCCCTGACAGTTTTCCAAAAGGTAGGAGAAATTAAGAAAGTCTTCCAGTCTTATAACTAGCAGCCCCTGCCTCTAGCTAATCACAGCAACCCCCAAAATTTGTATCATTGTTCTCTCTAAGGGAAGGAACAAGGTGTTCTACAAAACCTGAGAATGTTTTCTGTGGAACCCATTCAGATTCTAGCCCTGGTAACAAGTCGTCACTTTCTTTTTATTTTTTTGAAGATCTAGATATAGTGGAGGGACATCAAAGTCCAGGGAATAGATAACAAGAGATTGTGTATCTGTGGCTGCAAAATTCTGACTCTAAGGAGCTCCTTGATTGGACAAAACACACAATGACCTGAAAATGCAGTGCAAATACAAAGAACATGAGTGCAAACTCCTCGATTCTCAACACTTTAGTGTGGTTCTCAAACTTAAGTGAGCATCAGAATCACATGGAGAATTTGTTCAAACATTTCTCCAGGCCCCACCCCAGCACGCTTCATTGGTAGGTTTAGGGTAAGACCTGAAAATTGGTATTTCTAACACAAGTTCCTGTGATGCTGCTAGCTCAGGACCACCCTCTAAGAGCCGCTGCTCTGTACTACACGGTGATGAATGGCAGTGCCAGGTCTAGAGCTGGGACAACCTCTCAGCCAGCACAGAGGTCCCTCTACCACAGTGTGCCCCTTCCCCTACATGCTACATGCTCAGTGCACTCATCAATCTATGTGTTTATTTGCTCTAGCATTTCCTACTTTGGCTTAATTAAGCTATTATTCAATAAGACAGAGGAGGCCCTGTGACCTCTTGCCAATTCTATTTGCCTGATAGCATCACAATGTTCAAATAAACCACACACACACACACACACACACACACACACACACACACACAAACCAACATTCAAGCTGATTAAGTTTCACAAGCAGATTACTCTTAAATTGCCTGAGATCTGTGAGGTCGGAGAGGTTCACAGGTGCACACTGAGGTCTACCCCTTAAATACTCTTGATCTATCCCGCAGCCCCCTTACCTAGGAACATGGCAACATCAAACTGTCATCACATGCAGTCATTTCCACAGTACATCCAGGAAGTCTTCATTCCATCTGCCTTTTTACTCCTGGATCTCAGCTTTCTATGTTTTCGTTGCCTTTACTCTGCATTTTGACCTCATCTAGGCTCATCTTTCTTGTACTTGCCTGGGTCAGAAAGTTTTTGAGTTGACTCGCTTTAGGATTCTTGAGCCACTCACTGACACAGGGGGAACAAAACTAACAACAGGCAGGGAGCAGTGCTGGCCACCCACCACTACTCCTGTCCTCCAAGGGACGGGTGCAGGTTATGGGGAGGGGCAGAGAGAAACAGCAGTTCATTACCTCCAAAGCTAAAGACAAGACTCCCTTGAGAATCCAGATCAAGCCGCATCATTTTTACTGCTGGTACCATTTTTTAAAAGTCAAAATATTCAGGTAAATCCTGGTACTGAAGCTGGTCTCTATTTGCCTTTTGCAGGAAGCTTCGCCAAGGCACTGTAACTCAGAGATCCCTCATCTGAACTCCTAATGAAGTGTAATAGCTGCCGGTGGTTGACCACTTGCCAAGCCCTAGGTGAAGCATTTTATTTGTGTCATGCCATTTAATAATTGCAACGTCTCTATCACAAAAGTCCTGTGTGTTCCACATTTCATGTGTGAGGAAATTAAGACTTACGGATTTTAAGTAACCTGTCCAAAGTTACTTCTAATCTGTGTCGGAGCTCGTATTTCAACCCTGTCAGTCGGATGCCAGACTTGGCACTTGTGCTGGTGTGATTTCTGCTTTCCTATGGCACAGACAGCCTCAGCCAATCACATGGCACTTTCACAGTTTTCGTTTGACAGATTTGAGATGAATATCTTGTGAGCAAATGAACCTCAATTCAACACAGACATGTGGAGCACCAATTGGGTTTTCAGCCGGCTGTGTGCAAGGATCCACCACGATGGGGTGGGAGGTGGGAAAAGGAAACCATTAAATTTGGTCCCTACCTAGGGAGAATTTAGATATGCATGTAAGCTGTGGAGAATTGGACAGGAGAACATATGGTGAAGTGGCCAAATGTGTGAAAAGCAAGCTATAAAATATGTGTTTTAGCTAAAACCGAGAACTGAAAGAAGAGGCTAAATAGGCTAAATAGTATAAAGGAACATCTTCCAAAATCAGTGGCAAAGCCACTCTCAGCTCATATGGTGACAGACTGGCTGCCTAATGTCCTAAAAACTCCGTCATGTATCCATTGCACTGGGGGTATTTAGAATGCCCTCTCATTTTAATATTTATTTAGAAGTTAATTACTGTCACTGTCAGCTCTTTTATCTCAACAACATTTCAGAGAAATGTATTCAGGCATTATGTGACTTGTAAGTAAGATTAACAAGAAAGTTCACAGACGTGTCATAATCAAGGGATTTGGCTGTTAATAAAGAACCTACTGAAAAATGAGTTAACACTACACAGAATTTGAATTTGGCTAAAGCAAATTCTAGAGTTCCATGTAGTATTCTTTTTTTTTTTTTGTTTGGAGATGGAGTTTTGCCCTTTGTTTTGTTGCCCAAGCTGGAGTGCAATGGTGCGATCTCAGCTCACCACAACCTCTGCCTCCTGGGTTCGAGGGATTCTCCAGACTCAGCCTCCTGAGTAGCTGGGATTACAGGCATGTGCCACCATGCTCGGCTAATTTTGTATTTTTAATAGAAACAGGGTTTCTCCATGTTGGTCAGATTGGTCTCAAACTCCTGACCTCAGGTGATCTGTCTGCCTCAACCTCCCAAAGTGCTACGATTAAGCATGTCATCTAAACCTAGAATAAAAATTAAAGACCAATGACTACAGTCATGTGCAAAATGGGCAATGTGACTATCTAGCTCTGAGGAATATTCTAGGCTCAAAAGCCTCACTTTTACCCTGTATTATTTAAATCTTTAAATAAACACAAATATGCTTTCAGGTGGGCTTCATTGGATGTAATACCTGCATTATGCCAGTGCACTCCCACACAGACACACATAACTGATGAGTTGATAGAGTCTGTTACCCCTGCTTTACAGATGGCTAAAGGGATTAAGCAAATATCATTGCTGCAGCATGAAGCTGAGCCTTTGTATTCACTTATAAAGTTAGGGAAGTCACTGAAGAGAAAGATAAATCATGCAACTGGAATGGAGAAGAAAAGCTCCAATTATAGTTCCAGAATTGGCTGCCACCTTTAGTGTTAACAGAGTGTGCACGTTTCTCAGAAGTGACACCTGCATTGTCTATTGGGAAACATTTAATCCCTGGCGCTGTATTAAAGAGGCTGGTGAACATACAACTGAATAGAAATGATGTCAGTTCCTTCTGAGATAGAAGCAGCTTCAAGCTTTACTAATTGAAGTAGGAGCATATCAGAGAGTTCTGTGGACCTCTCCTAATTTGATTCCACTTGCAGTGTACCATTCTGCCCTACAGAATACCTGGAAATTGAATAAACATATGACTATTTGAATGTAGATGTAGTTCTGATGTTCCTACTGCCCTCTGCATAAGCTTTTATCTAGGATTTGATTAGCCGTGTCCCTCCTGCTAAAAGAAAAGGTTTTTGTTTCATTTACTGTAATATCACTGATGACTAAAGTGTGCTATGCATATGGTTGGCTCCTAAGGAATGATCGGGGAGGGTATTTACAAAAACAACTCTTTTATCTTGGGGTCACTTCCCCAAAAGCCTCACGTATCAACAGCAGAGCCAAGAATCAGAGAGAAAAGACAAAGCTCTTCTGAACAGTCAGAATGGTTGTAACCCTGAGGTCTGTGCATTAAAATCTGTGCTTTATCCAAAGGAAATACTCTTGAGTGTTCATCTTACATCTATTTTTTAATCTGTATTTTTGTCTTCAGTAGTTGTCACTGGAATACAGTTAGTGCTCAGTAAACGAGCGTTGCATCAAGAAAGCACATTGTGCACATTGAGGTTTCTGATCTGAAAAATGTGAATGCGCTTAATGCTTGGGCACTTAAAGCACACGTTTTGGTTATCTGACAAAGATGCTCATGGTGGGAATTGACTCTCTTGTGATTCCAGAAATATGAAGTGTTGTATTGACTATTTCCAGGTGGTACCACTGACTTGTCCTGACCTGGAGAGGCTCTGGCTTGCTCAGCCTACTGTTGAGTTTGCAGTGAGAGTGTAAAGACAAGACAGATACAGATGCTAACAGGACATGGACACCTTCTCAGATAACTGACTTCATCTGTCTGCCTGTTTATGTGGAGAGCTGATTATCAGCCATGTGCAAATGCTGGGGAACCGATCTGATCTCTGTGATGTTTTACACTACAGGCAGAGCAGAGCCATCCTTCTATCCAACATTCACTCAGCGAGGCAGGAAATATAATTAAGCTTTCATGCATATTCCCATGGTACCCTGCACAGTCAATCATTAAAAAGGAAAAAAAAGAGCCAGTGTCACAAGAGCTTGTTTGTTTGAAGAATCACCTACGAACTTAAGAGCTCTGAGAGGCAGAAAAAGGGATACAAGCCATGTGAGGCATCGGTGGGAGTGGTGGCTTCCTTAGGGGAGTGAAAGCTGGACTGAAGGTGATTGTGGGAAATTATTCTACAATGCACATAAAGCATATTTAGTCCAATAAGCAGAATCCAGGGAGTTTTTAGTGGGAAAATTTCACTCCAACATTGCAGTGCCTAAAAGAATGAAAATCACTTGACAGTGGTCAGTACTATTAGAGTATATTAATTGCTTGTTAGGCAAATCTATTGTGCAGAGGACTTCCCTGAAAATATTGATAATTTTAATACAAAGAAATGTTATAGGACCAAGAATTATGAGACCCAATTTGAATTCCAGCTTTGTCAATTATTGTGTAAACTTGTGCAAGTTACTGAATCACTAAAACATCAATTTCGTCGTTCATAAAATAGGTACGGTAAGATATAATCATACTATTGTTCTCTGGCTCAAAGTAAACAATGCCATATATTACATACTAGACTCTCTTTTTGATAGTTACAGTGCATGTATGAATTTTAAAGGCTCCAAAAGGGCTAAGTTAAAAACAATAACAAAATAGCAATAAGAAAAAAAAGCCACCTGTGTGGTTAATGATTAACCAAGTATTTCACAACCGTAGGGCCGGGTGCGATGACTCAGGCCTGTAATCCCAGCACTTTGGGAGGCCGAGGCGGGTGGATCACGAGGTCAAGAGATTGAGACCAGGATGGTCTCATGGTGAGACCCCGTCTCTACTAACAATACAAAAAGTTAGCTAGGCATGGTGGTGCGTGCCTGTAATCCCAGCTACTCAGGAGGCTGAGGCAGGAGAATTGCCTGAACCCAGGAGGCGGAGGTTGCGGTGAGCCGAGATCGCGCCATTGCACTCCAGCCTGGGTAACAAGAGTGAAACTCCGTCTCAAAAAATAAAATAAAATAAATAAACAAACAAATGTATTATTATTATTATTATTATTATTATTAATTTTGCAGAGTCTCACTCTGTCACTCAGGCTGGAGTGCAGTGGCAAAATCTCGGCTCACTGCAACCTCCACCTTCCCGGATCAAGCAATTCTCATGCCTCAGCCTCCTAAGTAGCTGGGATTACAGGTGTGTGCCACTATGCCAAGCTAATCTTTGTATATTTTTAGTAGAGTTAGGGTTTCACCATGTTGGCCAAGCTGGTCTCAAACTCCTGACCTCAAATGATTCACCTACCTTGGCCTCCCAAAGTGCTGGGATTGCAGGCGTGAGCCACTGTACCTGGCCGTGCCCTGTTTTATCTATAATTAATTCTTGCTAATATGTCATAGAACTAGGATTTCACAGATTATACTTTGGTAAATGTCAACTTTGTCCAAATTCTTTAGTTTTGAGATTCCCCAAATAAGTCTCTATCCAATGTGAGGTTATGGCCCTTACCACAGGACACTCCATACCATGCTATGGTGGAAGACAAAGATCTATTCGGATCTCAAATTTGGGTCTATGTTGGAATCACCTGGAGTGCTTTAAAAATTACTGGTGCTGGGCCGGGTGCGGTGGCTCAAGCCTGTAATCCCAGCACTTTGGGAGGCCAAGGCGGGTGGATCACGAGGTCAAGAGATCGAGACCATCTTGGTCAACATGGTGAAACCCCGTCTCTACTGAAAATACAAAAAATTAGCTGGGCATGGTGGTGCGTGCCTGTAATCCCAGCTACTCAGGAGGCTGAGGCAGGAGAATTGCCTCAACCCGGGAGGCGGAGGTTGCAGTGAGCCGAGATCGTGCCATTGCACTCCAGCCTGGGTAACAAGAGCAAAACTCCATCTCAAAAAAAAAAAAAAAAAATTACTGGTGTTTGCGTCCTACCACCAGAGATTTCTATATAATTGGTATAGATTAAGGCCGTATCACAAAGTCTATTTGAAACAGCCTGGATAATTCCAAAATGCAGCCAAGTTTAAGAACTAATGCAAACGATAACCCTAGGGCTATTTTTCTTTTAACAGCGTTGCCATATTTTTCATTCTGAGAATAAGCCTGCAATGATTTTACAAATCTCAAGAGTTTGGTAAATACCCAATGATTATGATCAGGTATCTCTCTGTAATCATTCTTTTATTAACTCATTTAATAATCATATGCTGATCACACAGGAAACAGCTATGTTCAATAGGTTCTGTTCAACCCTTCTAACTCCTTGCTGGCCCAGTGCCCAAAGCCCTCCCGTGTTTCTCTGAACTACTACTCATTTGATTGTTTTTACCATGTAGAATGCTACATGGAGTATTCTGCCCAGCTAATAATTACCTTTCTGTTTGTGTCTAGCTCATGAAGCATCCCCCCGCCCCGCCACCCTCCAGCTGAACCACGAGGTCCTAAACTCACGTATCAGCAATACAGATATGAAGGCACAGAGAGCCTTATACAGAATAAAGAACGAAAGCTTCAGAGTAAAATATACATAAATGTAAACACTGATTCTACCTCTTATTATCTGTGTGGTCTTAGAAATTTTAATTTCTCTGACCTCAGTTTTCTTATTTATAAAATTGGGGTGATAATAGTAACCTGGCAGAATTTGAACCACGTGAAGTTTATAAATCCAGGCATATCCCACCAGAGATGATCAGACAAGAAAGTGCTTATTTATGCACATTGACCATTTCAAAACCTTAGCTTATTGCACCACACTTGCACTGAACAGGATGTAGACTCCTCATAGGGTAATTTTGTAAAATGCACATCTCAAGAGCCAGGAGAAAGGCACTTTATGCAAAGTTATTTTTCCTGAACTCACTGTTTTTCTGGTATAAGTAAAGAATTGAGGAAAAAAATAATATGGTCATTTTGATACATGAATGTAGAGATGGAATAATTACTTTTCTGGATAAATCATATCCTTAAGAAATAAATGTGATGAAATCCTATTTCAGTTGGACTTGAAGGTATTTCCACTAAATACCATGAGAGACCAAGTGAGAGAAAACATGAAACAGATTACATAAAGGATATAAGAAACACATTAGTGAGTTATTATCCATGCTAATAAAAACTACAAAGAACCCTCCTTAATAACACAAGGAGGCCCCAGAGCATGTGGGGAACTGTGTGTGGTTTCCGGATGGGCTCCTAGGTTTGGGGTTCTGGCTATGTGTCTGTATCAGACCAAAGAACATAGTCATTTGACATTTATGTTGTATTAATTAATATAATCTTTTCTGTTGGTGGCCATCAACATCAACAAACATGATCCATTTCTGTTTTCTTTTGCCTTATTGATTCACTCTGGGATTATCTGTATGGCACTTGATCCCTGGAATGGAAGTAAAGTTGCATGGAAACTGTTGCCTTTATGGTCTTAGCTTCCCCTGTTCTTTGTGTAGTCATAGGAACTCAGAGCAGAGGTCCTCAAAGAGAGAAGCAGAATGGGAGAGGAAGACAGGCAGACACTACGTAAGTCTCAGGCCATGGATGTTTCACAGCATTCCTGTATCTTTTACTGCCTGATGAGTTAGTCCCTATGTCTCCAAAGACTTTATTGGGGATCTCTTCCATGTATCCAATGCCATCCTGCAAGGAGTAAAATCAGAGCCTCAGTATCAGCAGGGGGGGTTGGGATCAGTGGGTACTTGTATCAGTCCAATTTCATACTGCTATGAAGAAATACACAAGACTGGGTAATTTATAAAGTAAAAGAGGTTTAATGGACCCACAGTTCCACATGGCTGGGGAGGCCTCACAATCATGAAAAAAGGTAGAGAAGGAGCCAAGGCACGTCTTACATGGCAGCAGGCAAGAGAATGTGTGCCAGGGAGCTGCCCTTTATAAAACCATCAGATCTCATGAGACTTATTCACTATCATTCGTAAAAACAGCATGGGAAAGAACCGCCCCCATGATTCAATTACCTCTCACTGGGTCCCTCCCATAACACATGGGGATTATGGGAACTACAATTCAAGATGACATCTGGGTGGGGACAAGGTCAAACAATGTCAGTACTCTTTAACAGGATCTCTGGGAAAGCAAGGGGGTCCCTAGGTATACAAAGCCCTATATGGACTCTTCACTGAACTCCCACCATAAAATACACATGCCCTAGCCCATTGACCAAGAAATTTGCAAAATTTGCATTTCCAAGCCAAAAGAGGAGTGTTAATGTATATTTAGTAGCATACTGCCTGGTAAATATTTAATAATATTAGTAGTCTATTATTGTGATTATCATAAATCAAAAGGAGGAAGACATACTATTAAGTGGTTCAAGAAGGTCCAGTAAGATAAGAAATGTTAAAAGTTTATTGGCTTTAGCAATATGAAGATCAACTGTAACCTTGCAAGGTACATTGAGCAGTGAGTGGAAGGAGGGGAAACTGGAAAGATGGTAGAAAACCTTTCAATAAATTAGCATGGGAAGAATTGGCAAGAGACTAGTTGCAGTTAGAGAGAGAACCTGGGTCAGTCACATTGCTTTTTATGATTTATTCTTCATCTAGAATGGGGAGCATGCAATAGTGATGAAGTGTGAGTGACTCCTGACCCTCCTGCATCTCCCACCTTCATGGCCTTTGCCTGCTCCAGGTCTCTGCACC